TTATTTGGAAGAAGGGCACTTGTGGTTTCTCTTCCTATTAACTTTCACCTGCCACTTGGATAATTTTGAAATTGAACTTCTCCCTGTACTACAATTCAATGTAACAAATACATATCATGAATCATCTGCCTGTGCTTGGCCCCAGGCTAATGACTACTTTCAAAGTTATATATAACAGGGAAAGGGCCAGACATATGAGGTACTAGTTACACAAGCAGACTAAGTGGAACAGGGACAAACAGGAACACAGCATGTTAGAAGGATGCAGAGGAGGATAGCTTTAATTCTATCCAGGGGATTAGCAAAGATATCACCAAGTTAGTGTACTTTAAGCTAAGTCTAGAAAGCTGAGGAAATTTTGATAAGCAGAAAGTTAGGGAGAGAGTATTCAAAATAAAGGAACAGCATCAAAATAGGGGAACAACTGAAAGTAGAAATTTAAAACACAGTACCCCTTTAATATCATCAGAGTGAAATACTTCTGAATAAATACAATAAAAACATTTATGTCAATAAACACATAAAGAAAAAAGAAAGATCTCAAACACACTAATTTTTAGTTCAAAAAGCTATAAAAACAATAAACTAAGTCCAAAGTTAGCAAAAGGAAGGAAATAATAAGGATTAGAGTATAAATAAATGAAATAGAGACTAGAAAAAATAATAGAAAAGATCAACAAATTCAAGAGTTAGCTTTTTTGAAAAGATAACACTGACAAGCCTTTTTTAAATTTTTTTTCTTAGTTTTAGATGGACCACAATATCTTTATTTATTTTTATGTGGTGCTGAGGATCTAACCCAGTGCCTCACATATGCAAGACAAGTACTCTATCACTGTGTTACAACCCCAATCCTTGACAAACCTTTAATTATACTAACCAAGAAAAAGAGAGATAATATCAAATAAAATAAAACATGAAAGAGGATACATGACTACTGATACCACAGAAATACAGAGGATCATAAGACTAGTATGAATGATCACATGCCAGTAAATTGGACAACCTAGAAGAAATGGATACATTCCTAGATACATATGACCTATCAAGAATGAATCATGAAGAATTAGAAAATCTGAACAGACCAATAATGAGTAAGGAGACTGTGTCAATAATCAAAAATCTCCCAACAAGTTAAAGCCCAGAACCAGATGGCTTCATGACTGAATTCTACCAAACATTCAAAGAAGAATTAATATCAACATTTTTTTGTAATACTGGGGACTGAACCCAAGGGTGCTCTACCATTAAGCTACATCCCCAGCCCTTTTTTATTTATTTTTTAATTTGGAGACAGGATCTTACTAAGATTGGCCTCAAACTTGAGATCCTCCTGATTCAGCCTTTCAAGTAGCTGGGATTACAAGTGTGTGCCACAGTATCTGACACTCAACATTTCTTAAATGCTTCCAAAAAAACTAAAGAGGAGGGAACACTTCCAAACTCATTTTACAAGGCCAGCATTACCCTGATATCAAAGGCAGGCAAGAAAACTACAATAAAATAAAATTCTAGGTCCATATCCCTAATGAGAAAATAGAAGAAGCAAAAATTCTCAACAAAATATGAGGGAACCAAATCAAATATCACATCAAAAATATTCACCAAAGCTGGGCATGTTGGTGTACCCCTATAATCCCAGGAAGGAGGCTGAGGCAGGAGGATCATATGTTCTGGCTACCCTCAGCAACTTAATAAGACCCTGTCTCAAAAAAAAATAAAAGGGCTGGGGATGCAGCTCAGTGGTAGAATAGTCTTGGATTCAGTTCTCAGTACCACGCACACACTCACACATACACACACACACACATGCACGCACACACATGCACACACATACACAAGCACAACTTACAAAAGAAAAAATAAATTCATCAAAATCAAAAGGTTTCACACTAAGAAAGAGAACCCCCCATTAAGAGAAATAAAAGATAGACAAGGACTGGGTGAAAATATTTGCAAATCGCATCCCAGAACAAAGATTTGTATTTAAAATGTATAAGCACCTCCCAAAGTCAATAGTAAAAAAACAAATAACCCAATTGAAAAATGGGCAAAAGATTTGAACAGAAGTTTCACTAAAGAGGAAACACAGAAGGCAGATAAGCAAAGGAAAAGCTGGTAAGCATCATCAGCAATCAGGGAAATGCAAATTAGAATGATGATGAGCTACAACTGCACATGTTTTAGAATGGCTTGGTCGGCCTCAGTACAAACTAAATTAGAAACCTGTGGGGCTAGGGATGTGGCTCAGTGATAGAGTATTTGCCTAGAATGCCTGAGGCTCTGGATCAATCCCCAGCACTGTAATTTTTTAAAAACATATTTATTTAGTTATTGGCAGACACAACATCTTTGTTGGTATGTGGTGCTGAGGATCGAACCCGGGCCGCACGCATGCCAGACGAGCGTGCTACCACTTGAGCCACATCCCCAGCCCTGTAATTTTTTTTTAAAAAAAGGAACCTATGTATATGAAATTCATTCTTTTTTTTGAGAGAGAGAGAGAATTTTTAATATTTATTTTTTAGTTCTCAGCGGACACAACATCTTTGTTTGTATGTGGTGCTGAGGATCGAACCCGGTCCACACGCATGCCAGGCGAGCGCACTACCGCTTGAGCCACATCCCCAGCCCTGAAATTCATTCTTGATAATCCTCTTCACATTCATTCACTTGACTGTGAACAAGATGTTGGAACTGTCTCCTGGTCTCAATGTCATGCCTAAGGGAGTGTTACACACACATACACACAAGTGCTTATTTTTCATCACTCCTTCCTCAGATGCCTTTGCTTTATGTCATGAAATTCCTTGTTTTGTGATCTTTAGCTTTTCTACTTTGGGCCTCTGTTTATTCTCTTTATTTTTACTTATTTATCTTTTATTAGAGCTTTATAGTTGTACACAGTAGTTGGGTTCCTCCTGACAAAGTCATACATGCATGGAATTCAATTTCAGTTCATAATCTTCCCCTTTTCCTCAGGTTCTCCCTCCCCTCTCCATTCTATTTTGAAGCTCTACTCTACTAGACTTCCTTTCCGTCCTCTTAACCACTGAGCCACATCCCCAGTCCTTTTTATTTTTTATTTTGAAACAGGGTCTTGCTAACTTGCTTAGGGTTTCCCTAAGCTGCAGAGGCTGGCCTTGAACTTGCAATTCTCCTGCCTCAGCCTCCCGAGTAACTGGGATTACAGACATGCACCACCACACCTAGCTATTTAGTTATATTTAATTGGTTCTTTTTACTAATGCATAAAGGTGAGGTTCCCTGTGGTATATTTATATATGCAGATAACATATTTTTTAAAGAATTCATTCTGCATTGCCTCCCCTAACCCATCCCTCTACTCTGCCTCTCAGTCTCCTTCTTCTACATTACCGATCTTCCCTTTATCTTCATGATATCCTACAATCCCACTTTTGTCACCCCGCGTTACACTGATGATATTCAAACAGGCTGGATCTGGAAGGCTTGTTGTCAGATTGCACTTCTGGTTTCCTGCAGAGCCACACCTGCAGTTCCAATAAATTCCACAAGATGGTGTTTATCCAGGTAAGGGCACCTAGGCTACCTTAGGACTGGTAGATAAACCAAATATGAAAGAAGGCACACAATCTGGCTACACTTTTAAAATAATGTCGTATTTAAATAGCATTGCACATGCTAACTAAACATTAATCACTTAAGTTGACTTTAAAGAGAAAATATTTATTTATCTATTTATTTATTTATTTATTTTCAGCCAGTCTAGATATTTGTTGACCTACTGTGTGCCAGGCACTATTGTAAATCCTGAAGATTTCAACAAAATTCATTCAAAGCAAGATACATTTAGACCACCTTTAATTAAAAATTTTTGTTTTTGATTTTTTGCAATACTGGATGGAACCCAGAGCCTAGCACATGGTAGGCAAGTGCTCTCCTACTGATCTATACCCCTAGCCTTATTATTATTATTGAGACAGAATCTGGCTAAATTGCCAAGGCTGGCCTCAAACTTATGTTGTTTCTGCCTCAGCCTCCAAAATTGCTGGGAATATAGATGGGCACCACCATGCCCTGTTCATAACCTGAGTTTTTAAAGAAATGCCCACTGTGTCTTTTTACTGTTATTTTCATTTATGACTCAAATGCAAGAGACAAGCCTGTTGGTAACTCGAGTTTCTTTTGTTTCTCTGAAAATTTCATCTACCATGATGTGGCAGCTTGTTAAAGATGTCATTCCCTTAGCTAGGTCTTTTTTTTTAATTCACAATATGTGTATTTAGCCCATCTTTTCCATGAATTCAAATTTAAAAATGGAATGTAGCTCAGTGGTAGAGCACTTGTATCAGATGCAATGCACAAGGACCTGAGTTCAATCCCCAACATGGCAAAAACTACATAAAAATAAAATGGCATTCATTTCCCAGAACTGTAAGAAGCATTATGTTTGCATTTCACAGCTTGCTGTGTTCCTTTGCTAACAGAGATAAATTTTTCCCCCTTTGAACTTTCATAACATTGTGAAAGGGAAAAAACAGAACATGGTCAGGCAATTTCTATTCTGCATTTTTTTTCTCAGAATCAAATAGCCTGTATACTGCCTGTATACTGCAGGCAAGCTCTGGAATGCGCAGACTTAGCGGTTCAGAAAAGAAAGGAGGGTCAAAATTTTAGAAGAATTTCCTGAGGTTCCAGAATGGGAATAATCAGCCACCAGTCCAACATGATGTTCTATTTTCTAAGAAGTACTGCTGTCCTTGGACCCCTGATGAAGGTCTGCTCTGAGCACTTCATGGTTCTGCTGTTAAAATCTCAGCCATTGAGAGCTCCAGATCCAATAATTCAGAGGTCTTCCTGGACCACAGAAGATCTAGGCAAGGGTACAAGGGGAGAAGGAGAGAAGAGGCCACTCTGACTTTGTGCTGCTCCTTTGGTGTGGAGTGGAGATGGGAGTTATGGGAGGTGTGCTGAAACTGTAAAGAAACTGAAGGGCATGATCCCATGTGTCTCCTCAGGATCTATTTCCATTATCAGTATACCCTACTTCATGGTGTTCACTAGATTCTGGTACTTGGCTGTGCTCGCTTTAGCCTGGCTTGCTTATGATTGGAATACTCACAGTCAAGGTAAGTGATGGGGGCAGAATGGTGGTCCTGTCTGTAACACAGATAAAACCGCAGGGTGAAGGAAGTGGATGAAGGGGGGGGGGAATAAAGTGGGGAGGGAAGGGGACAGAGGGCTTTGCCAGGCTGCCCAGAAAGAATTAAGAGGTTGGAGTTTCTGAGAAGGTGCCCCCAGCCTTGAGATGTTGTCCCAAAAACTTTTTGGATGGCTCCAGAGGAACAGGGGCTTCCTGTCTTGGGAGTTGGGTTAGGGATGGTACTTAGAGCTTTAAGGTGTGGAAAGGAGACCCCTTTAAGGGCATGAGTACTTCCAGCAGAACTCTTCACCTGTGGGAGAGGTAAAGGGACTGGCAAGTCTCCAACTGCTCTTCCCTTCCCTTTTCTATCCACAGGTGGTAGGCGTTCAGCTTGGGTACGAAACTGGACCCTCTGGATGTATTTCCAAAATTACTTCCCAGTAAAGGTGACTATCTTTCTTCTGGATGCCCTTGATCCTTTTTGCCCAGACTCTGACCCCCTATCCAGTTCCATTTATTCAAGAGTGCTGGTGGCCATCAGTGAAGGTCAAGGCCCAGAGGTATACTGCAGAGCAGAGACCCAAGATGGATGGGCAGGTGGGGGAACAGATGAACAGTGGAAAACCCAGGTTAGCCTCTTTGACCACTACGACACCTGGCAAGCCTATGTCAATGATGGCATCCCAAGGAGCAAGGATTTGAGGCTCCTAGAAGGAAACATAGGCTACCCATTGGGGTCTGAGTCTACCCATCCCCTCTTTCTTCTGTCTAGCCAATGCTCTGACTCAATATCCCTCTAACAGCTGGTGAAGACACATGACCTTTCTCCCAAACACAACTACATCATTGGCAGCCACCCCCATGGAATTTTCTCTTATGGTGTCTTCATCAACTTTGCCACTGAGGCCAGTGGTTTTGCTCGGATTTTCCCATCCATCACTCCCTTTTTAGGGACCTTGGAAGGGATCTTCTGGATCCCAATTGTGCGAGAATATGTAATGTCAATGGGTGAGTATAATAAATTATTCAACTTTTAAATTTTGCTTATTTTTTATTTGAGCATTAAAATTATACATAGCACTTGGGTTCATTTTGGCAAAATAACATATGCAAGGGATTTGATTTAAATCCCCATTCCCCCTGCTTTTCTTTCCCTCCTCCCTCCCCCATTCTCCCTCTTCTCCTCTAATGATCTTCCTTACATTCCTTCATTTATTTACTTTTTATTAGTATTTTCTATGTATACATACAACTGAAATTCTTTTTGGTACAATTATTCCATTTTAGAATCTATCTCAGGGCTCCAACACTGATAAGCACTGGCAGTCATTCCCTCATAGAAAAGAACTTGGTAAAAATTGAATCTAGAATACACTGGGCCAGTGTCAGGAGTATGTGGTGAAGCATATGACTATCTGAGATCTGGGAGGCAGGATTTGGTTGGGCAACTGGGGAAGTTACAGGCATTCATATGATTTGCCAGGATTCCTTTCACAGAGGGAACCAGAAGGCTGAGTTCAGGATCAATGCCAAAATGGAAAGTAGAAGTTGAAAGCCAAGTATTAAACAGAATCACAAACAAAAATCAGGGATGATTCACCAGACTCTTTTCTGGGATGTCAGTTGCTTTCTTTTGGCCAGTCATCCATACAGCTCTCATCCAAGGGTAGCTTAAAAACATTTTAGAGTCTCTCAGACCAGCTGGTATACTTTTGGTTCATGAACTTCATCTCCTTGGAACACCTCTGCCCTTGCATAAGATGCCATCCCTCAGAATCCACAACAACTTCCCCACACCAGGCTTTAAGCCAGGGCAACCTGACAAATGTCCTCTCTAGATGAATATTCATCCTTCTGGACACCAGAGGTAAGATACATTTATCTGAAGGGGACAAGTAGAACCACTAGAATCCTAGGGGACGCTTCTGCTTCCCTCTGAGGTTGACATGACCCTGGTGCAGGGATCTCTCTCCAAAGCTGGATCCTGGAGTCAATTTCTGTCATCGCAGTAGAGAGTAGAAGGTGAATGAAGGGCAAAGACAAGATTCAAAAGTGATGAAAGACTCTGGCTATCATTGAACAACAAGGTGTCATCCACCTTCCACTGTTCATTGCAATTTGGCTTAGGTAGGCTCCCAGGTCTGCCTACTCTTTAAAACCACCAGCCAATGGCTCCCCTTTGGCAGGTTTCCCTTAGGGAAGAAGCATGTTGATGGTGGCTCTAGTCCTGATCACCCATGGAGGAAAGAACTCTGGAGGGTCTTCAGTGCTGTCAGCCTGAGAAGAGTGGAAGATGGCTGTAGTTCATGGGTTTCAAAGAATGTTGATTTAGAATTTAGTAGACTCTGGATGAAAGAAGGCAGAGGAACTCAGTATAGTCCCAATTGTATCAGCACAGACCCCCAAGTCAAGCATGTAGGCCTAAGGATCCACCTCAGGCTAGGTCTAGCCCAGGATATGGGGGCCAAAGACAGAGGGTGGGAACAGCAACAAGCAGGAGACAAAACTGCCTCCAACAGAAAGAGTCTGGAAAAACCCTGCACCAAGTTTCTTCTACCACTTGACTCTGGTTTCACAGGTATATGCCCAGTGAGTGAGTTGGCCCTGGAGTACTTGCTGACCAAGAAAGGCTCAGGAAATGCTGTGACTATTGTGGTGGGTGGAGCTGCAGAAGCCCTCTTGTGCCGCCCAGGAGCCTCCACCATCTTGCTAAAAAATCGCAAAGGTTTTGTGAAATTGGCTCTGAAGACAGGGTGGGTCCCTGGGTTCTGGGCTCTCTTCTCACAATGACACAGGACCTCTGTAGCCCTCTCCAAAGTGGTGTCCTCTCTGGGAAACCTGTTAGGGGGGGCCCTTCTTCACTCTGTTTCCTTCTACCCCTTTACCACTGTGCCTTGTGGATGTTTGAACCTCCAGACATATTACAGTGGACAATTTTCTCACTTGAAGTTGGTGAAAGAATTATAGGAAACCTTGCACCTTTTGCCCATTAGCCTGATAAGCTGGGTGTCTAGGGAAGTGGGGCTTCATTCTATATCCATCTACTCACTGGGAGACCCTGAGAACCTCCAAAGGGCAAGGAAGTCACTAGCCCTGGTGCTACGAGGATTGCCAAGATGAATAAGGCACAAACCCAAAGAAAATCTAATCTGGTTTGAAAAAATATATTTTTAATATATATTTTCACTCATTCAGCAGTTATCAAATACCTACTATGTGTAGGGCATAGGACTAGGCACTGAGGCTCTAGAAATAAATAAGACCTGGTCCTCACAAACCCACAGTCCATTGTGGAAGACAGACCCACACACGTATCATTACAAAATGTAATCAGAATCAATCATTTACCGCCTCACACAACCACCTAGTTTAAATTACCATCATACAATACTTCTATCTACTCTCCCTGCTTCTGTCTTCCTCCCTTACTTCCAAGAGTCCATTTACAACTGTAGCCAGAATAATTTTGTTCAATATAAGTCAGATCATCTCACACTCAAAATGCTCCAGTGGCTCCCATGCTATTTGGAACAAAAGCCAAAATCCTCAAAAGGGCCTAGAAGACGCTAAGTCTCATCTAGTCCTCAGCCACCTCTCCTTCCTGACCTCATCACTCATTACTTCTTTTCCTTGTTTGTTCCTTCACAACTCCACTGGCCTTCTTGCTGTTCCCCAAGTACATAAACTCTTGCCTTAGGGTCTTGCCCTCATGTCCCCTCCACCTGGAGCATTATTCCTCCACATGGCTGCTTGGTCCATTCCTGTACATCCTTCAAGCCTTTGCTGAAACATCTCTTTTCAAATGGCTCTATCCTGACTCTCCTGCTTTACTGTTTTCCCATTGTATTTATCATCTTCTTATATATCATCTATTTTATTTACCTGCTATTTTAGTGTTTATCTTCCTCCTCTTCCAGTAAAAAAGTAAGTTCCATGAGGTCAGAGATTTTTTTTGATCCAGTGTGTTCACTGATATATTCTGAGGGCCTAGAACAATGCTGGCACATAGAAAGAACTCAAGAGATATTTGTTGAATGAACCAAGTGCATAAGGGAGATGCATACTAATTGCTATGGAAGCATCAATTCCATGGAAAGACCTTAAACCAGAGTAGAGGTTTCATAGTTCAGTGACATCTGAACTGTGAATTTAAATAGTAGGAGTTTCCAGTCAGATGAAAAGGGAGAAAGAATTCAAGCATTCCATGAAGATATATGAAATATCAGGTACCATGTTAGGCCCTTGGGATTCAAAGGTGAATACGATACTATTCTCACTCCCTAGCCCTGCGTTACAGTCATCTCCTGGGGAAGTCAGACAGGAAAGAAGATGACTGTAACGCAGGGCTAGGGAGTGAGAGGACAAGAGACAGGTCAGCAGTAGATGAGGGGCACCAAAGCCACTGTAGGGGGTGGGGTATTGGAGGTAGCTAAAGAAAATTTCTTCTAGGGGACAATATCAGAACTGAGAATTGAAAGGCAAAGTGGAATTTGCCACAAGAAGACAGAGGGAGCAGCATGAACACATAGATGAGAGAGAACTTTGCACACTTAGTATGGCTAAACAGGGCTCAAGGAAGGAGCAGGGAAAGGGGCAGCTAGCCAAGTAGGGAGAGCTGGAGCACAAAGGCCATGCTAAGCCCTACAGTACACAGTGAGGAGTTCTGGAAGAATTTCAGTGAGAGCAGTGACATGTCCACATATGCAATTTAGGAAGATCATTCTGGATGCTGGATTCACTGTAGGCAGTTAGGTGTCCCAGATTAGTTTCATTCTGTCACAGTTCGTTTGGGAGGGTGGGACCTGGCAGGAATACTTGAATGCTTAAATTTTTGACCTATAATGAGGAGGTTGGAGAAATTTCTGATCTTGGATGGAGTTTTTCCGGGGGGAGATTTTGCTTGGGGAGGTTTTGCTTCCTCAGGGATTTCATACCCTGCCCTTCTCTTTGCAGGGCATACCTTGTCCCTTCCTATTCCTTCGGTGAGAATGAAGTTCACAATCAGGAGACGTTCCCTGAAGGCACATGGTTAAGGTTCTTTCAAAAAATCATCCAGGGAGCATTAAAAAAAGCCCTGGGAATAAATTTGTGTACCTTCCATGGCCGGGGCCTCACTCATGGATCCTGGGGCTTATTGCCTTTCAATCGGCCCATTAACACTGTTGGTGAGCTTTCCACATTCCCTGGGCAGAGTGGGTCCTTGATCCCCCCACCTCAAGTCATCAAGTCCTAGGAGATGTGACTAACAGCTAGGATGGGACAAAAGGAATTCTAGTAGGTGTGGTTTAGAGTAGGGTGGGGAAGACAATTAAGCAGATAACAGTTGTGGCCATTCCCAGGTGAGAGAGTTCAACAGCTGTCATGAGTACATCATTATTCATACACACTCCTTCAGCTCCCTCCTGTGCTTACTCTGGTTCTCTGCAATATTGTTGATATTAGGTGACCAGAGCATGAGGGCCAATATAGAGCTGGAGCAGGGGTAGGGGGGTGAAAAATGAAGACAATACAGGGTGTGGTGGTGCATGCCTGCACTCCCAGCAGCTCAGGAGGCTGAGGCAGGAGTACTACAAGTTAAATGACAGCCTCAGCAATTTAGCAGTAACATTTAAAAAACGGGGGGGGGGGGGGGGGGGGGGGGGGG